TCATACTTTTACGAAGAGTCTGACTTACGCTACGCTTTCGACACACAGGTTCCACCCACGAGATGAAATAGTTTTTTATATATTTTTCCTCGTCGTACGATCGACAGTATATTAATTATAGAACGAGAGATTTGATCGGTGTGCTGTCGCACAACACGTCACAGAGTGACGACTAATAATGACTCGGAATAGATTAAAAAGTATCGTGTGTTCGTGGATGATAAATAATACAGCTCGTAGTTTGAGCTCACCTGCCTTAAATTTATTAAATTATTTGTACATTCTTGACGCCCGAAAATTCGAGAATTCGAGAGGCGTGTATGGGAATTCCAGACAGAATTCGGTGTGTTTTAAAAATATTTCATTCCTGTTCCACGTTTGTTGTCTATTCTCGGAGGCCTAATAAAAGGATTAAACATCTACCTCGAAAGAATGGAACTGATAATGCGAAGTTATTCAACTCGACCATGACGCATAGGTATTACGTAGTATCTGCCGATCACGGAGAAAGTAATGCCGTTTATCGCGTTGTTGAAAGGATATTTACTTTCGGTCGAGACTTTTCTGCACGTTATTAGCGAGCATAACCTCAAGGTTGAATTAGGCGGAATTGATCGACAAGAGACACATCGTTTTAAGGCAGTTCTAATTCGAGAAAATAATTTAAAAAACAATATTCGATATATAAATTCCATAATATAAAACCATATTCAACAGCTTTTCAATGAATTAGATTTTATAAAAGCTTGATATCTTAACATTTTATAGCAATGTTCCAAGACTGTTTTTCTCCGAACGACTTTTATTAAGCGTTGATAAGAGCTCCGAGAAACAACAAAGCAATTTAAGACAAACTTGAAATTAGTGGCTTTTTTTTAAGAATTCTAATAACGATTTATATTGATAATAATGTAGTTAGGTGTAATTGTAGGTAGTCGGTCGTGGACGAGACGTTCCACGACAGCAAACGATAACGCGGAAACCAGTATGTTTTTATCAGATGCGATTAAAGCCGCGATGGATGAACAGTACGCATTGGTCGACTTACGGCTTCGTTTAGGCCAACGGAGAACGCCATTTGGCTATTCGTCTGTATCGATTCTTTCGAATCTGTTGTTATCGTCGAATATACCAAACAAGTGCTTCTACCGACGGTGCCCTTATTTCGTTAGCCTGAGAGGCTAAAAGGAAAGTATTGAATTCTGTATAACCTGGGATTATTAGCAACGCATATAAATGCGTAATACAATTAGACTATATACCTGCATTGAGATTATCTGAATACACTTATCGTTAAAGAATTATAAATTACAGAAAATCAGCAACTAATTTAGTTTTTCTAGGAATTTGAGAATAAAAAAAGTTAATTACCGCGATTCTTGAAATGCTTCTGTCGATAACGATTGCTCGGTTAAACGTAATCTGCCTCGGCGATCTTTAACCGATTCTTATCAGAATTATTAGGTCATCCTGTAACGAACGGACAGCCATGCAATAAAGCAATAGAAACCGAACGCGACTCGCGTCCGACCGTTTAAGGCGGACAACCAGTGTAAATAGAGACTTTCCTTCAATGCCGCGACCAGGTCGAATACCTTGCTTGTTTCTGGAATTTAAAATCGAAGCGAGGACGGCTGTACATTCGACATCTTACGCAATACGAGGTCGAGAAACGAAGTGCAACCGCGAACGGCAAACAACATATATCCGGTGTACCGGTAGAACATCATCGAGCAACGTGTAATCAACGTGCACGGTCGAAGTACGTTTCTTCGACTTCGCATAACAAGTTTCTTCTTCGATGGAATAATTAACGAATAACGATACCTTACGACACGTCGCTTTTTTGCTGATCGTATATTCTCTTCTCTAATAATCAAAACACACTACCTGATTAGTTTCATTAGAGGCTTCGTTAAAAAGTTATTAACATTTAAAGTTCCGCCCATACTGAATTTTTTTCTCGAAAATGCGCAGGATTTCGGGGGTATGTCTATTCACCAAAAATGATTGCAATTGACCCCTGCAACCGAAAATAATTTTTTCAGAACGACTAGAAATTTTTTAATTTTGTCAAAAAATGTCAAACCTCGAATTTTTTTCTCGAAACTGGTTAGGATTTCGGGGGTATGTCTATTGACCAAAAATGATTGTAATCGACCCCCGCAACTGAAAATAATTTTTTTGAAATGATTTGAATCTTTTCAATTTCGCCGAAAAATTTCACACCTCGAATTTTTTTCTAGAAACTGGTTAGAATTTCGTGGGTATGTCTATTCACCAAAAATGATTGTAATTGATCCCCGCAACTGAAAATAATTTTTTTGAAATGATTTGAATCTTTTCAATTTCGCCGAAAAATTTCACACCTTCTTGAATTTTTTTCTAGAAAATGGGTAGGATTTCAGGGGTATGTCTATTCACCAAACATGATTGTAATTGACACCTGGGACCAAAAATAATTTTTTTAGAACGTTTCGAAAATTTTTAATTTAGCCAAAAAATTTGTCCAACTATTGAATTTTTTTCTCGAAACTGCGTAGGATTTCGGGGGTATGTCTATTCACCAAAAATGATTGTAATTGGCCCCCGCAACTGAAAATAATTTTTTTTAAATGATTTGAATATTTTCAATTTCACCGAAAAAATTCACACCTTTTCGAATTTTTTTCTAGAAAATGAGTAGGATTTCAGGGGTATGTCTATTGACCAAAAATAATTGTAATTGACCCCCGCAACCGAAAATAATATTTCCGAACGATTTGAATTTTTTAAATAATTTTTTAAGGAAGGCTCAGTTAAGAAATTGATGTTCTTAATTTTCGTCTTATTTTGGCCTCTAGAATCTCCCATTAAAATGTTTCCGAAGTGTAGTCGAACACCCTGTATAAACAAATTATAATTTATTAAATTAAGGTTGCGTTAAATTAAAATAATATGCTTCTGTAGAATTAAAAAAAAATATTTGTTTTTAATAAGTTTTCGGAACGTAACTCCCCCTTTTATACTGGTTCTAAGTCTCATATAACACGGTTTCACACAACACGGCATTTTTTAGGAAACTATCTACCGCGTTATAGGAGGAAAATGGCGTGGATTCGAGATTCTATTTCGTCGCGAAGAAATTTCCTACGCGTATCTCCTCGATTCCCCGTTTCCGTCGTTCGATCACGGTCTGACGTTTCGTCTAGCCACGTTTGGATTTGCATTCGTAAATAACGCGAACGCACTCGTGCCGATACGATAGACGTCATTCGTCGGAATTGGAAGAAATCGACGCAGTTTTATTCCCGATCGCCTTCGACGGTTCTACACGGCGAGCAGACGCACGGGACTACATTTTATTTATACAGATTAACGCATCGCTGTTCCAAGAGCACGAGAGAGAAAACTTGGAACGCGCTACGAACGTCATCAATGAGAGCCAATTCTACCGGAAACGGACATAATGTCCCCGTATTATCGTTTTCAAATCTAACACGTTTGACGTACGCGTGCAAAGGAATTATTAATTTCTCGTAACCGTACGCGCGCTCGAACCGGATGTAACGGCATCCGAGCAACGAGCAGCGCCGAGTAAAATATACGTTTCGAGCAGTAAACAGCTCGGCTCGTTCCGATCGAAACAAAACACCGATGCTGCGTCGTTCAGAACCGAGCGTGCCGATCTTTCAGGCAGATGGAAAGAACCACGGGATCGGTGAACGTTTACGAAAGTGTTTTGTAACGCGGTTACGCTCGATTGCGTCGACCTGTGCGATCGGAAATGAAAGGGCAAACCGACATGGCAGCCGAAATTGCATCTGCCGTCGATATAACTATCCATTGCAACATAAACATAACCCGTGAATCACAGATTCGACGGGTCTTCCTTATTCACCGCTGTTTCCTGCCCTTTCGTAATCTCCCATGCAACGTGTTCGCGATATTTTCATTGCGAGACGAGAAATCAATTCTTTAAATCGTATCGCCATTGACCGTGTATACATATTTCACGAACCGTGAGAACTCTCGTCGAGTATTCGAATATAGTGTCAACTGAGGTTAATATTTGACGTTTAAGAGTTGAACGATCTTGACCTGTCGACAACGAATTAGGTGTTCGAAAATTTTCAGGCGATAAAGCAGGGAGAATTCGCGCAACAGAATCAACACTTTACCCTTTATTTAAACTTTCAAATAATTTCTCATAATGCCCAACTCTGGAAACAGAAAGTACCGTTTTCTCTTCGGATTTATGTAACGAAGATTTTTGTCTCGTTGCAATATAAAAATCGGAAACCGAGAATTGTTGTTACGTGTTTGAAGCAAACACGTGCCATAGATTACGTTCCCGGATCGAGAGGATTTCGATCGATTATCGATACGCTGTTCCAACGTACGACGCTGATAACGATTACAATTATTAGTAGAGCAAAGAACTAACTTATAACAGTATTGCCGTGTATACCATTCGAATGTTTCGAACAAATTATTGATCGCGATTATTCCGTTACATCGTTGTATCAGTTACGCAATCGTTACTGTCAAAAGTAATCTCCGAAACGGGATGAGTCAACTGTACTTTGGTGACTGATATAACCGCGAATTAAAATAACACGTTATCCCCGATCGTACTTGAAAAGCTGCTCGGCACTGTTAGAGGTTAGGTTGTGCCCATCGCGAGGCTCGGAGCGTACGATCGGTGCTCGGCGACCGTTTACCCGGGAAAATTCTCGGCGATCGTACGATCGAGTTTACGATTGATCCGATGCACAATGGTTTCTTCTCCGGTCGATCAATAATCGCGACACCGGTCGAAAAGAAAAGTCTAGAACGGATTTTCACGTAGAATCACGTTCGTCGTCGGTCAGCGCGTCTGGTTTCGTTTTTACGAAGCTCGGAATCGATCACGGCCCGTCCTAACCTCAAAAGGCGCGCCGGCGGCACGCCTCGGCCAACCAACGGTACACACACACTTATTTGGAACCGAACGCAGTATGTCAAAGGACTACACCCACCTGCGTTTACGTCGTTGTCTCTTCTTCCGTTCTTCCCTTCCTACTATCTTCCCTGTTCGTCTTACGAGCGTCTCGCGACACTCGGGTTACCGGCTTCACCGACGCTTACGAATCTCTCGTCACACGGTCCCGTTTTCTTCTTGTCACCTGACCGACGGTACATACGAAAGTAACCACGTTGCTTGTCTACGAGACCGGGGTAAATAAAACGACGTTCGTCCTATATCCTTGTGGAGTTTCCGTGTATCTTCCCGGCGACGACAATCGGTCGAATCTCGTTCGGGAGCCGTATCGCGGAACGTACTCGCCGCTGTTAGAAGCGAGCGAACGCGAGTAAGAATGATGACTGCTCGTCGCCAGTTTCCTTCATCGGCGACACGCGTCTTCTTCCTCCTCTCCGTCGTCGCGGGCGCGTAGTATCACACAGATGGGAGAGGCGAAGGAATAATGGGGAGAAACAGAGGGGGACAGACAGAAGGAGAAAAGATAAAGGAGTGGATAGCGAGGGAAAAAGGGAAGGAGAATCCAACGTCGACGAATCTCCAGCGACAGTTTCCTGTGCACGCGGTCGCACTCGACTGACGGTTTCTTTTCGTACGCCGTGACGTGTGGCCGTTTAACGTTTACGCTACCTGACCGCCCGTCTGCCTCGCTGATGCTCGCCGTCGCCCTACTCCTCGTGTCCACGATGCTTCATTCTACCGCTACTGCCTCGCTCCCTCCTTTTTCCTTCCTTCCGTCCCCTTTTTCTTTTCTCTTCCTCCTGTTTCTGACTCCCACTTTCGACGGCGAATACGCTCGTAACCTGTCACACTTCTGCGTGCTCGCATACGGATTTCTCACTTCACTCGTGCCAGATCTCCGTTCACGATTGATTCGTCTCTCTCCGGTCGAACGACACTGCCCGATCAAACTGGTAAACGAAGTCTTTTCTTTTTTTAAAAGGGAAATAAAAACGAAGGATCGCGGCAAAGACGAGGACGACGACGACGACGAGGACGACGCGACAAAGACGATGGGAACCGAGGGCCACCGTGCCGACGACGAAAACGACTGCCGCCAACTTGCCATCTCGCGGCCGTTTGAGCAAACGTTTTTAGGTGGTTCTCAAATCGCGGATCCTAAATATTTTATCGCCCCGATGTTTTTACACCGGAATATATTTAAAAGACCATTTTAATCGTTCAAAGTACACGTAATGTAAATCAATTCCAAACAGCATTTTTCCCTTTACCTTATATATCTTCTATCAGCTGCAATTATTAAAATATCTTTAAAAATATCTTCGTAAACGATAGAAATGAGATTTAAAACAGATTTCAAATCGTCTGTGATGCTGTAGCATTAAGAATCTGAAACAAAATATGATAAAGTTCAGTAATATTTAATGATGGTTAAATAGGAAGGTTGACGGAGCACCAATGGGGAAGCACGACGAATCAGAATGATCTATTCTACGCGGGAAACCAGGCTGATGGTTGCTCGTAAAGTTTCGATTAGTTTCCACCAGACTTGGGCGTTATCGAATCATGCGTTATGTTATTTCCAAAGAACGAAAAGTATGCCCTTTGTCACTAAATTTTGTTATTAAATTTGAGCACATATACTTCGAGAAATATTACGAACTTGATACTTGCGAGAAAAGAAATAAATTGAACTGCACCGCCGCGTGCCGGTGGGTCCATTTTTTCATCTCCTTGTATCTTTATTTCGACGCTTACGTCATTTACTTACGCGTTCCCCTTGTGTGTTTACAGACGCTCATCCATTCCACCAACGCAAGGAAATAATGATGTGCCGCTGCGATTTAAGTTTCATAATGACTTCTTCTTGTTCACGGGAGTGGATTAGGCGGCAGCCGCAATTAACGTGAGCACATAATGTAATTGCGTCGTTCGATGTTATTTTTCAGCCCGATAAAATAGGTTAAAAAAAAAATGTTATTTAGTAACAAGGTGGAAAAAAATCACTTCTCGAAGAAGTTATTCAACATGCAAATCGCGTTTAATAAAAATTTAAAGTGACATTGTTCGATACGACGATTAAATCCGTATTTCTAATTCCACCTTATACTAAAACACTTTGCAAATAAATATTTATTGCATTGTATTACGATCGCTGGGTACTTCGATATTGAAATACTCTATCGTAAGGCCGGGAAAGTGGCCAATTGTCGGTCGCAAGCCATATTCGTGCAGATTAACCTACTTCGAGCCCATCTAAAATGGCGGTAGCCCTTCATTGTAAGACGTTGCATCACGGTTTCTTCAAACGTTAACCGATTAATGTGTCTTCTTGCGTATCTCTATCAGCGCGCCAAACATTCGGCCGATCGACGTTGTAAAAATAAAATCCGAGTTTTCTTCGTCAATACCAATTAACTTCCACCTTGTGGCACAATTACATTTAAGCATAATGACATAATGTAACTGGCGCAGAAACCAGTTACGCGCGTCAGGTCGGATTTGACACATCTATCATTATGCTTTCGTAAGGAAATTAACGAATGTTACGACTACGGTAATCGCGTTATTATCGCGTTATTTTTTTTTTCTTCTGCCGTGTACATAGAGGAACACGATGCAAAATAGTTAGCGTCGTCGTTTTCCTCGTGTTACCAACCCCTCGCTACTCGACATCTTGTTATCTTTTCGCATGATTTACCACGTTTCTCGTTGGCATCGCCACATTTTCCTCCCGCGCCGCGCTGAATTGAAGACTCTGGCCGCGGTTTACGAAGTTCCGCGGATAGCTCGGATTACCTCGTTCCGCCCCGACAAATTTTACACCAGGTGTCTCCTTCCGAAGAATAAATTTAACGAAGGAACGTACCGATTGGTGGCTCGTTAAAAACCACCTGATACGTTCTACCGGCGACCTCCGACTATCGCGGACCCTACGAATGAAGATTCATGTTCCCGAGCACTCGTATCGAAGATAGTTTACGATCCACCTATTTTGCCAATTATTATACGCCACAGGCACAAAGGAACCGACCCATAACGATTTTTCTTCGCGCAGTCGACGTTTCGAGGCTTTTTATCGCGTAAAGTTTCCTTTTCACGAGCAACCCCAGGACCGGATTAATATCAACTGTACACCCTTTAATTACCAAAAGGAGTAATCTATAACTATTGTAAAAAAGAAATGATAGAAATCACCTCTTAAACAATTCATTTTAAAAGTCGTAAGTAGGCGGACTATTTGACAAATTTCCATTCCCGTTTCTCGAAAAAGCGACACCCAACTATGCAGAAAGGGAAATCTTGCACAATCTCGAGAACTTTAAAAAACATTATATATTATACACGACCGCGCATAAATTAATACGCATACACGCGTTTATTCTTTGTCCTTCTATATTTAGAATGACATTGGAACATTTCGCTAATTTTGTCGTTAAAATTCTTACAAAATCCCGAATCGCTGTGGAGGTGAGTTGCCAAAATCGTGCCGCTTCGAATATTCTATTCGTGCCGAAAAAGGAAACGCGGTCGAAAATGTGGAATTGTTTTATCCAGAAATAAACGGGAATGGAAACCACCTGTAATTTACAAAAATCTGGAATTGAAATCAAAACGAAAATGAAAAATAATGCTGATAATCGACGTGTGTGTGGCCACTTGTTTGAAATCGAAAGTCATCCACGCGCTCGGAATTTGAATAGAACAATTCATATTCATATTTCTCTATATGAAAATGTTAGAATTTTTAAAATTGACCGAACACGGTTGAAAAAATAATCGGCGAAGTAGTGACACTGGCAGCTACAATTTTATCGAACCCATATTTTAAAGAAACACGCAACAAAATTATAATTAAGCAGCTGATGTAACCTTAAACAAAAATTACCAACCCGAATACCTGTCTATCAATACAAAATACCGTAAAATGATGTCAGCGACAAATTTTATTGATGTGAACCGCGAAAAAAGGCAACGAGTTATGTTCATTTTGTAAGTCACGTTTGGGGACAATTTAACAGATCCACAACTTTATTTACGTGTCGCATAATCGGACTGATCAACCAGGTGCGTGATAGCTAACACGTTAATCACGAGTTCATAAATCATAGCGATACGATTTAAAAAACACGATAGCCTCTGGAAGAATATCGATTTAATCTGTGTTGTTGTTGTGTATTTTAAATAAATTTAAAGTAATATACAACGCGTATACTTTTGTTTAAACGTAAAATTGTATCCCTATATTTGTACGAGATTCTCGCCTTCGAAACTAATAATTTCCTCCCGCGTTGATAGACACCGTATAGCAATTTTCGAGGACGTTTGCCCATCGTCTTTCATTGGCAAGGAAAGAACAAACGAATGGACCGGAATGAGAGTAATTCCGACTACCAAGGAAACGTACAGAAAGTGTAATGTCGTGTAACAGCCTTGCTGGAGGTTATGCAAGTCACGAGTATCTCGGTCCCAACGGCGAAAGTGATTCTCTTTGCACGGTCACGGGATGCCTGAGACCAGTGTTCGAATATAATCTCGAACAAGCATTTCGATAGTTATCCGCGTGAAATAATTTTATTTCGATGATTCTATTCGCTGGTTCACGATCCTGAAAGTTTCGAATCTATTTCCAGGAAGTGAATTCCACTTGACCGGTACCTTGAGGTTTCGAGAGCCACCACGAACCATAAACAAACGTTTCGTCTACCTTTCGTAGGAAACATAATCTCCTAAAAGTAATAAAACGCCAGAAAGCGCAATTCACGCGAGAAACGACGCGTCATCCGGGGACCCTTTCTCTCGTTTCTTCATCGATAGAAGAACACCGATCCGACGCGAAGAACGCAGATATTACAGGCACATTCCATCTTCGTCCACGCGTGTAAACACCGGAGTCCTCCAGTCCTATTCTATCCACGAGCTAGCGATTATTGCGACGCAATAAATCCGAAGTCCGAGCTTCGAGTAGTTCGGATTTAAAACGTCCGCGAGAGCAAACAGTTCGGTTTTAAGGGGTCTCGAGCGTTCCGTCGTCCTCGATCGAAGGTTTTTCTCCTTCGCACGAACTGTGCCAAGACGTTATGCAACAGGAACGACGGATTACCGCCTCCAAAATCGTACGAGAGAGCGAGTAACTGGAGTCCGTAGCCACCGATACTTTCACAGGAAGGGTTCAAGGTTCCCCGCGGATCGCTTTCCTTCGTCAGTCAGGTTCGTTACCTACGTGAACTTTAACGATACACTGTCGACGAAATTACTATGAAAAAATTTTAGCTATTCAATTTCAAGTAATTCGTCAAACCTATGCTATTTAATTTTGTTTAAATTTTGAAAAGGAATAAAATTACCCAGTCGTAATTTCTAACAAGACTTGTGAAATATTTATTCGACTGAATTTTTGAAACTTTACTGCAATTTTCTGTAAGAGAATGAATATACATTTATTTTTTTCATGTATCTATCGTTTTAATTTCTTTGGTACAAATAAATTCACTATAATTGTCGGTAGTGCACAAAGCTTGATGACGAGTGAGCAGCCTCATGATTGTGAAACTTGACGTCAAGAACTTATAACGAGACAGATTTACCAGGTAAGGGGTTAAAGAATGTATAAAATTAAAAAGAAGTGTTTCGAAATTTTATAACCCAGAGCTCTGTAACTAATTACGATTAATCTGACCTTCCTCGTTTCGTTATTTTATAGTTTCGATCCATCACAGCCTTCGATACGTACAGGATTCCTGCTCGAGTACGACCAATGCTTGGAATATTCAATCGAAGATCTATTTCTTTATTGTCACAAAAAAGTAATCGAAATTACTATAAAAGAATTTTAATAAATATTAAAGACCGTTTAGAATGAAAAAGAAGTGTCTTCGAAATTTTATTACCCAGACCTCTGTAACTTTTTACGATTAATCTGACCTACCTCGTTTCGTTATTTTATAGTTTCGATCCATCACAATCTTCGATACGTACAGTGATGGATCACGACTAATACTTGGAATATTCAATGGAAGATCTGTTTCTTTATTCTCACAAAAAAGTAATCGAAATTGTTATAAAAGAATTTTGATAAATATTAAAGACTGTATAGAATGAAAAAGAAGTGCTTCGAAATATTATTACCCTGACCTCTGTAACTTATTACGATTAATATGACCTGTCTCGTCTCGTTATTTTATTGTTTCAATCCATCACAACCTACGATACGTACAGTGGTGGATTTCTGCTTAAGTACGACCAACGCTTCGAATATTCACTCGTAGATCTCTTTTTATATTGACAGAAAAAAGTAAACGATTTATAACGAGTCTTACCTCATTGCTATTAACATTGTATATAATTACTTTATCAAACAACGTGCAACAACTACTAAATGTGCTTCATCCTTACGCTATCCGCGTTTCAGTAATAGTTATTTAAATTTGGTACTGTTATCTCGAAAGAGGCCAGCATGGTCGCAACGTCGAACGATAAACAAAGATTTATTTACTGGATTCGCACCGAGACACTAAGTAGCAGAATAAATTATTCCTGGCCACTTATTTGTTTTGATGATTCGTAAAACTGCATTAAGTCTAAACGTACAAAGATTGAAACAGTTGTTATGAACAGCGTGCGAGATACAAACTCTCGATACAGTGTTTCTTTGCAACGTTTTGCACCGGAAGATCCTCTCGAAAAAGAAGTGTTAACGATTTTCGTTTTAATTGGATCAGGCGAGGCTCGTACCTATGCACGCGATAAAAAAATAGAAAAATAACGTAATAGAAGACCATCGAAAGCGTGTCAGCAAGCACACCTGCCAGGTTTCAACGCATTTTTCCCGGAACTATGTTTCTCGGTACGGTCGCGATGGTATCTCTGGAATTACCGAACCCATTGGTTCGAAATTTCGTGTAAACGTGAAAAATAGACGCACGTTTATAGCCTCCGCCTTTTATCTCGCCTTTGTCGACAAAAATCCAACGTCTTTTTATCGCATTTGCCGAGTCACGTTTAAATTTTGGCAAAAATCTCACCGAGAAACCAACAGAGGCAACAACTTTGTCCGCGAAACGTGAACATTTGCAATTTACTTTCCAGGAAGTCGTTTTGATGGACCTACGATAAACACGCAACAGTAAAAACACGAGATGACGCGGTTAAATACGGCCTTTTTGCGCGTCAAAAAGGATCAACGCAAAGTGAATTAACACTTTTCCATTCTGCCCGGCAACGAATAAAATACGACAATTTTTTCCCCCACCCGGTGTGATTTTCTCGGAAGTTGCAGTTTCACGGCAATAATTATGCTCGCGATAACGTCGTATAATAAATACGCGTTGTTTTAGTCGTCGACGAAATGAAAACTCCGTTTAGGTAAATTGACGTTCGTGGGGAAAAACATTGTTTCAAATTTCGTTCGCCTGGTGCTTCTAATTTTCTCACGACTTTTCCGTCTCGATCGTCCTGCCATCGATCGTAGGCGCGCGTGACCCACATGCGACTTATTACAAAGGTATCCTCTTTCGTAACGCGTCTACGAACCCGTTTACCGATACTTAACTCGCGGTGAAAACTGTTCCACGAAGATTTCCATACGTCGAGGAAACACGTATCGCATGTCTGAACCGAAGACAAACACGCTTTGCGTACGTAATACGAATTAATTGATCCATTAACCGTCTAAGTAATCCTGGGAGAGTCGCTGACGCTAATCTATTGTTGCTGGTTGAGCTGCTGACGAGCAACCGTGATTGGCTGCAGCGCGGCGGGCCGATCTTCGTGAACGTACCGGGATATAATTGATAACTATCGCCAATTGCGCGAGCAATAAACAAATAAACCTTTACAGCTTTCAGTTTCCTATACAGTCCCGTTGCATAACGTTTATCTTGTTACAATGGCTTATTATACTCGCAGTCATTGTTATTACTATCATTACATGTGTCGCGTGCCGTTGAAAATCCGGGAAATAAAATATCATCGGTATAGAAATTAAAATAATTACCGTCCGGAGATAATTATGCGTGGAAATTATTTTCTCGTTATGGTTACTTTTGTGTTTCGTATATTCTTGATCGCGACCCACGTTTAATACCATTGATTTTATTAAACTGTTTGCATACAATGCACAATAACTAGTTTTTCTTAGTGAGAAATTAACAAGTTAATGTCTTGAATAATTGGCCGTATGAATTATTGAAAGAAGTTCCATTAGACGTACGTTTCTTTTATGCATGACTATAACGCCGTCACATTTCAGCCGAGCCGCCAGTCAGTTCGTAAACAAATCATTTTTTTTATCAAGCGGATGAGCTCCACAGAATTATTCGCTACGACTGCCCGTTTCCCTAATCCGATCCGCGGGATCTTTCATTTCTACGAGCTAACTGTACAAACAGTGGAGTTAAAAAAATAGATTTGAGAGCAAGAGAATACTCGAAACAGATCGAACCTTCTACTTTTCGTATTTATCGTCTCATTTTGCCAGGTAAAATCTGTCTCGAGACTAGTTTTCCCCGCGAAGCAAACCGCTCCGTGGTCATAATCCGCTGCAGGAAATCGAATGCATTCTCGTCATTATATGAAAATTGATCATTGAAAACTGTCACACGTACCATTAATAATTCATCGACTTTTAACCTTTGTACTTTTAATTGCACGCTATTATACGATATTGCGAAACTATATAATAACTCTGTCAATGAACCTATAACCGATGCTTCGGGTCATAATTAGGCTGGCTGATGAATTTCTATAGCGATGCGGTGGATAGCGCGTGTTACGCGTACCGATATTCATCGCAACTTCCTTCCGCATCGCGGCTAGAACTCTTGAGCTTTGCGCTTTACGCGCCATCGAAGCTCTTGAATTGAATCGGCGAATCACGTACACGCCTTGACGCAAACTGGCATCGCCTGTTAATGCCCATTCCTGTTTGCCAAAGCACTTTGCACCGCCGTTACGTTCTGCGCCGCTCATCGGTTCGCTCGTTGTTCGAAAAACGGAATTTTTACGAACGCCGGGAAAGCCTTCCGCGCGACCCGGAAACCACGAAAAAAAGAAACATCCACGGCTCTGCGATTCGCGAATTAAGTCGACGAAATCGATCGACGAGACGGTCGTTTTGCATTCTCGTTTTGTTTACCCATG